ATCCATGTGTGTGTGTGTATGTATGTGTGCCCACTGCCACCTCCCACATACTTGTGTACAGGACCTAAAATAGTCCCCCTACAAGGGAGTTCTCAATAGTTACTGGCAACCATGCCTGTGAAAGAGTTCAATTCCCAGTGGGCCGTAGGACATAAGTCAACCTTAACCAAAGGTATTTATATGGAAATGGCCCATTCGCTAAACCTCAAGATTCTGCCCTTCATATGACAAGTTCTGAGATGCCATTTTAGAGGCTTTGCCAATAGCCAATCCTCTATCAACAATCTGCCTGTTTCTCACTTGGCACAGGTCCAGTTCTGCTTGAGTGAGGCCTGCCTGGATCACAGAGTCAAATGATCAGTTCTGAAGAAGACAGGGCCGCTTTCCTCGTGCCGACCTCCTGGTGAGGCCCCTTCTGCCCTGCATCCCCCCCCACCCTGTTAATGCTGGCATATTCTGCCTCCTTCCCACAAGTCCAGCACTGACAACTACCTCCATCCAGCTTCCTGTGTCCAGTGTCTCCTCCAGCGACAGGCACATAGAAGTTTGTGAATGTGAGAATTAACCTAAAACGTGTTTCCTAACAGCCCACAATGGAGACCCATTCAGAAGAGCCAAAAAGAAGCTTTCCCAAAGCAGAGAAGCAGGTCTGCCCCTTTACTGGTCTCTCAGGCTGTGCAGTACACACCGCATGTTTGAAGGCTAGCACCCCATGATGGAGGACTAGCCACTCTGTATTCTAGTACTTTTAAAGCTAAGTAATAAGAGCTCTGGAAAATGTTCTTTTATTGTCCTCCCATAGAAGGGCAGTATCCGAAAGCCACCCCCCCCCTGCCCCACATCTGCCAACATTAATTTTTTTTTTTTTTTTTTTTTTTTTTTTTTTTTTTTTTTGGTTTTTCGAGACAGGGTTTCTCTGCGTAGTTTTGCGCCTTTCCTGGAGCTCACTTGGTAGCCCAGGCTGGCCTCGAACTCACAGAGATCCGCCTGACTCTGCCTCCCGAGTGCTGGGATTAGAGGCGTGCGCCACCACCGCCCGGCATCCAACATTAATTCTTAAAAAATAATTTCTTTTTCACGTGCATTGAAAGAGAGGGAGGCTGGGCCTTGAGACCTGCTTCTCCCTCCCCGCTTTCAGTTGCTCAGGGCTGCTTTTTTAGAGTGTTCAGACCCACACCCTTATGTCACTTGCCACGAGTCTCTAATTATGCTCCCCACCACTAGAAACGAGAGATAAGCGGCAGGGACACAGACCCACATTTGTCAGAACTGATTTCCCCTTTTAATTGAGGGGTGTAATCGCTCAGGCTTTCCCAGCAACACAAATGTGTGTGCCCTGCTTCCATCTACCTGTCTTTCTTGGATCGTGAAAGTCTCAAAGAGGAGAGACACAGTGACAGGAAAACACTCCCCGTTGGTATCTTTTCACTTCCCTTAAATAGATGCAGGGTTTTTTTTTTTTCATGTGTAATTACAAGCTAAAAATAGCAATAATGTGAAGTACAATTTATGCTTTGACTGCCCTTTAAAAAGCAGCCTTTTCTTGTCTAACTCAGGTTGAAAATTTCTGCTTCTGGGTTGTTTTTTTTTTTTCTTTTTTCTCTAATTCATTCAGCCTCACGACTTTGGGTGAGGTTTTTTTTTTTTTTTTGCTTTCGCTGCTCCTTGGGAGAGTGGTCAGGACATTCATTTTAAAAATATGAGTCTCAGGTCCCCAAGCTGCTTGTGGAAAGTACCTCCTGGATGTTGACCATCAGTCGCGGTGAATGAAACCCACAGCCCGTCCTGAGCCTCAGAGCGTAGCCCCAAAGCGGTCAGCAACGTGCTTCATCTTTTGGGAGCCTTACAAACCACTCTTAGAGTGACTGCCCAGCGAACGGAAGCAAGGAAGCCGCCTGCCTCGCATTAGCAAGTCATACCTGCAGCTTCCCACACCGACCTTGATAAACATGTGCGCTGAGGCGAGGAAGCAGTTAGCCAACGAACGAGCACAGCTCAGAGAAACACAGAACTGTCGTTTTTCTCAACACCTCCTATACTGGAGGGAAGAGGGACCGTAAAAGCGGAGACGTGAAGAAGGGAAGCCATGTTTGCAGGCCTACCTGTGGGTTAGTCGACGTGATCCTGAGAATTTTTCTTTCTGACCCTTCTCAAAAGGCTGCACCGTACTGCACTAATCAATGTCATGAGGAAGCGTAGTGAGGTGCCCCAGAGCTTGGTGGGGGAGGAGGCTGAGAGAGGACACGGGGGTGTTGGCTAGGGCACGGGGCTGTCTCTCACACTGGAAATGGGTGCCAGAACTGCTCTATGCATCTGCCTACGAGCACCTCCTACCCCTACAGTAACAGGGGTGCAGAGACTGTCTCAGTTAGGAGACCATTAGGTCAAGTGTTGGTCAGATAACCAAACTGAAGAACTGGGAGAAGTACAACTTGCTAAATGCCTCTTCCCTATGCACAGCTGCACAGGGATATCACGGTCAACTGCAGACAAGCTCTGAATCGAGGCTAAGCTGGATAACAACAGGGACCCCCAGCAATGTCAATCAATCCCTGCACTGGAGATAACTCTCAGGATAGATCCCTAGACCCTGGCGGGTGTCGCTCAGCAAGAAGCGTGGGGCAGGCGAGGCGAGCAGAGTGCAAGAGGTCTGGCTGGCAGGTTGGAGGCGAGAATGGCTGCTTACTTGTGGAAGTCCTCGATGCAGTGGATGAGGCCACAGGCGTCCACGGTAAACGGGATGCCATCCAGGCTGCGGTGGCACATCACGCAGGTGAAGCAGTGGGGGTGGTAGGCCTTCCCGGTGGCCCGGAGGATCCGCTCCATGATGGGCTTGTGGCACACGTTGCACTGCTCCAGAGTATTCTGAGGAGAGAAAGGCAACTGGTCAGCAGGGCACCGCGGCTCCAGGGTGTGTCCCAACCCTCCAGGGAAGGCGGCTGGCACCATCGGAGTGGGAACGATGCACACAGACAGGTCGGAAGCAGTAGGCAGCAAACCCATGCTTATTATTATTATTATTATTATTATTATTATTATTATTCTGACTTTTCAAGATGGGTTTTCTTTGTGAAACAGTCCTAGCTATCCTGGCACTTACTCTGTAGACCAGGCTGGCCTTGAACTCACAGACATCCACCTGCCTCTGCCTCCCAAGTACCAGGACTACAGGTGTGCGCCACCCATCCCTGGCTTCTAAGGAAAGTCTTTTTTTGAATGTGCACTGATGTTTGCCATGGGTGTCGGGTCCCCTGAAACTGGAGTTACAGACAGCTGTGAGCTGCCATGTGGGTGCTGGGAATTGAACCAGGGTCCTCTGGAAGAGCAGTCAGTGCTCTTACCTGCTGAGCCATCTCTCCAGCCCTAAACCCATGTGTTACAATACCCACTGTCTGCCTTCTATGGCATTCCTTTCTACTTCACCAAGAGTAAGGACACATTTTTCTTTTTTTTTTTTTCTTTTTTTCTTTTTCTTGGTTTTTTCAGACAGGGTTTCTCTGTGTAGTTTTGGTGCCTGTCCTGGATCCCCCTCTGTAGACCAGGCTGAGCCTCAAACTCACAGAGATCCACCTGGCTCTGCCTCCGAGTGCTGGGATTAAAGGCATGCGCCACCATCGCCCGGCTCACAATAAAGGCTCAGATAGTAAGGACCTGTGGTACTAACCACTCAGTTTACCCACATAGAGCAAAGACTGCCTCTGAGTGCACACAAGCAAAGGGCCTGTAGTTCAGTAAAGTTTTATTTATAAAAATAGGTGGTAGGCTGGATATGTTCCCTGAGTTACTTCTCCCAGGTTCTGTACTTAGAACACTGCTATACTATTACAAGTAAAACTTGATTCAACATTAAAGACCTAGTAGGGTTGCTGAGGCCCCTAACATTTTATCTATGTTATGACTGCAACAAGTGTACACCCCTCCATAGAGCCCAAATCAAAACTCCCATTTAAAACCTCAAAATTCAGGCTAAATGAACAACTCCTGATAGAAATGTTGAACATAAAGCGGTGGTCCGGTTGTGAAAAAGGAAGCTAAGAAATTCGGTTTACCTGGATTTGAAAATAAACTGAGCCTTAGGAATACATGTGAACCTTAGGAGCTAATATTCAGCAAGTCGACATTCAAAAGGCCCAGCTGTTAACCCCACCCCACGCCCAGACTGTGTTCCCAAACAATAATCTTTTTTCACGTGTGATATGTGTTATTCTCTAAATGAAGTATCTGGAGTGACTCACTAGAATCTGGAATCAATGTAGGGTATAGATATCAACAGGAAGACACAGAGGTAGATGGAGCATGGAAATTTAGGAGAAACTGCCTTCTTACTGTGAGGTCTTCAAATGCCTTGAGGCGAGATATGACTGTATTGAGGTAATAAGTATCCTGAAAACTACCCCAAGGCAACTCTTTGGCATTGGCTCTTTGTTTATCACTCTCCAGAAATAACCCCCTTTGTCTCTCTAAGGAAGCCCAATTTATTTCCTGAAACATGGATGTGACCAAGTATTTTTCCTGACAACAAACCTTCATGGCACCATAATACAGAGTGAATTCCTTCAATGACATTTGACCTCCCTCTCTAGGCTGAGCTCCTCATCACATCCAAGCAGACTGCTCACTCTCATTCACCACCACCCCCCGCCCTGGGAAATACCCAACTTATGTGTCTTGACTCATGACTACATGAATGAACTGTGGCAATTTGCAATCCGACCTTCCAATACACAGCTCAGAAGGCTCTTTAATGACCTACCTGAACACATTACTTCTTTCTCCCCCACTTCATGTATTTTTCTTACAGCACTTAACTGTATATACTGCCTTACTTTACAATACTGTAATTTCATTAAAGGAAGGGATTGTCTCTTAAGAATATATTTCTCTGTCCCAGTATACTGCTTGGAATAAAAACAAGCTGGGGATGAATGCCTACAGAAAGAATGAATGAAGAAATATTAACTCCACCATGGTGGCACAGCACTGGTCCAGTGTCCCCAACTCTGGAATCCATCCCAAGATGAACTGGTAAATTCATCATCCTCTTCTCCTGTGAGCTGCGGCCGCCTGAGGTTCTATAGCTGCCTTTGGTCATAGTCTAAACTCACGGAAACGATTAACCTACTTTCCCCTCATCTTGAAGTGGTGAAATTAAAATCGCAGAGGCTCACAGGGTGAAATTCCAGGGCTGATGATGGTCTGGAGAATGATAACCTTGCTTTGTCTCTACTCTGGTGATCTGAGTTAATGTGACTGTAAATCGTCTTCCTGGGGCTCCTGTTTTGCTTCTCTGGGGGTTTTAACTTTTTTTCTTCTTAAACCCAGTCTGCAATGGAGTTAAATAAATCAGAAAATGCTAGACCAGAGAACGTATTTGTTTGCACTGAGGCTTGGCTCTGAGCAACATACAAGGCTTAGTCAGTTTCTAAGGGAAAGCATTATGGTCTGAGTGCTCTATTCACAGGATGGGTAATCTGGACAGTTGTGCAGTGAAAATAAGCTTTTACATATGCCTAAAATTAGCCTCATGAAAAACGTCCCCAAGTCAGAAAAAAAAAATTTCCAAGAAAGTAGCTGGCTTGGAAACAGGCCATGAAGGGCACCTTAACCTTTATTAAACAATTCCCTTTACTGTCCTCGGTTACATTGTCAGGGTGGAGGGGGCTAGCACTTCCTTTAGTCCAGGCTGTCATTTCTCAGGTGAGGTAACAGACTTAGAGCTGACTGATTAACTGGGTCACTGAGCTCATGAGGGCACCTGAGGTTGGCACGTCTACCTTCCTGACTCCTGGCCATTTAGAAGCATCAAGCAAACTCATATGTAGTCATAACAAGGAGAACACGCTGCATAAATAGCATGTTACATTGTTCTGGCTTTGATAATACATACTGTATGGCCTTAGGTACATAATTTCTTTGCTCTAGATTTTAGGTTTCTCAACAGTAAAACGATTAATCCCAATTCTTCAGTTTTACAATTATTCACTGGTACTAACAACACAAGAAAAGACCAATTTCCTGCTACCAGAGCTGTATTAGAAACAAAAGGAAAAGCCTTTGACAAAGGTTTAAAAGTAGGGCTCACATGTTTACTATGTTCCCCCCCCACTTAAAACGTTTAGAAATTTCTAATCATAAAATTTTAAGCACAACAATGGAACGCTTTATATCTTTTTATACATGGTTATTTTTAAACAAAAAGCTGGGCTCTTCATGTACATATTAAGCTTTTCTAAAGTAGGATAGAGTCGAATGTAAAATAACAGTTTTGAAGAAAACAGACTTCAACAGAATCAGTTGGAGAGAAATGCCTCTTAGTCTGTTCAGGTCCCATCTTATATGTGGACCAAGGCTCCATGTCTGACAGGTTGGGTAGGCAGTAGAAGAGGAAACTACAGCTTGCGGACCCTTACCATCAGTGGTGTGTTCTGTGACTTGGCTCCTCATCCCCATTAATCTCACAAGTGGGCTTCATCTTTTAGCCGCCATACTGGGTTCATCGTCACATCTTTAAAAATATTGTCCATGCCCAGGCCACCTTATACTTTTCTTTGCCTAGAAAACATCTACTTATTTTTGCAAATGAATCTCAAAGGCCACTTGTTCTGAAAAAGAAATCTTTCCCGAGCCTCCTTCTGTTACAGTAAAATAACTCATATTCTCTAATACCATAGCATCGCTTATGGGAGGCATTCCCTATGACATCTACATGGCCAAATAGTGATCTCTCTTCTCTCTCCCCACAAAACTCTAGTTTGAGGATGTGTTGCCTATGAAATAGGTTCTTAAACAACTTTGCACATAGGGAGTTACTGAGCAGTATCCTTGTGATCGGCATTTATAGGAGACTAAAGGAGTGACTAGGTGAGATCAACGATATAGCTACAACCAAGACCCAGATGGGTTCATGGAGGACGTGACAGCTGGGATTGACATGTAGAACTGTCCTTCCATGAAGTTAGTGATGAGGGACTTTATACCTGCACCTATCAGTCAGTGGACACAAGATGATCCCCAAGAAAGAAGGGTAACTTTGACTGGTGTTTTCCTTCAGTTGATAATTAGCACAGAGGGATCTAGCTATGAGGCTTCACTAATCAACATTCCCAGCAGATAGAGCAATGAGAGCCTCAATCTTGAAGAGACACCTGGGCAGCATACTATATCATCCACACAAATAGTCACCCTTGTCCTGGGCCTGCATAGTTCACGGTACCAGGGAGGAACTTGTGATATTGTGTCCCCCAATATATTGTGCACCCTAATAAACTTATATGGGGTCAGAGAACAGAACAGCCACTAGATAGACATAGAGGCAAGAACATGGTGGAACACACACCTTTAACCCTAGCATTCAGGAGGCATAGATCCATTCGGATCTTTGTGAGTTCAAGGCCACAATGGAAACAGAGCCAGGTATGGTGGCACACACCTTTAATCCCGGGACTTGAGATCTCGTGTCCTTGCTTGGGAAAGACACATGCCTTTAATCCCAGGAAGTGATGGCAGGAAGTAGAAAGGTATATAAGGTGTGAGAACCAGGAACTAGGGACTTTTAGGCGATTAAGCTTTTAGCAGCAGTTCCACTGAGATCCATTCGGGTTAGGACTCAGAAGCTTTCAGTCTGAGGAAACAAGATCATCTGAGGAACTGGCAAGGTGAAGTTGACTGTGGTTTGTTCTGTTTCTCTGATCTTTCAGAATGTACCCCAATACCTGGCTCCAGTTATTTCCTTTATAAGACTGTTCAGCAATTCACCTATAGGAACTGGTACCGTGCCATGAAAGACCTTGCCACTTAAGCTCACTGAAGAGTCTATATTTTATTAATTTCACAAAGACACTATTTTGGGCAGTTACTCCAATCAA